AAACAATCTTCAAAATACAAAAGATCTTCCACAAACTTAAACTTTTTGTTGTCAAAGAGCTGCTTGATATTACAAACTAATCAGTTTTTAATTGATTCTATATAAATTTATTCAAAAAAACTTGAATCAACATGTATAATCATAAAAGTAGCAAAAAGATAAAATTGTTTTAACTTTAAGAGAGTGGTATATTATTGATTAAATTTTACTTCTCTAACCTTTGAAGCAAGATATGATCTCTTTGATAATGAGTCTAATTGTTCTTCTTGCTTTTCTAACTCATATATAATCATAAAATCAAAATAAGATAATCATATATTTGAACAAGTTTGGTGGCAATTCAAAACCAAAATTGACATGAAATACTTCAAGTTTTTGTGATCTGTATATATAATCATAAGATATATAGCATCTTCCAATAAGTGATGTCATTCTTAAAAAGATTCTATAATTATAAGATTTAGTTGTAAAGATCAATTATAAAATTTATAATTACTTTTGGTTCATAAAATAGATATTTCTCTAATTTGGCATATAATCCTATATCTAATAACTTTTGCAAGACTAATCTTACATATTCTTTATATTCTTCAAGAGTCTTGAAATAGATTAAAATATCATCAAGATAGTAAACAACAACTTATTTAGGAATTCTTAAAAAATATCATTCATCAAATGTTGGAATATAGCTAAAGTACTTGTTCATTCAAAAGACATGATATTATATTCAAAAAAATTATATCTTGTCCAAAATGATGTCTTCCATTCATTTTTTTTAATTCATATTAAATTTTATGCTCTACAAAGATCTATTTTGATGTAGATCTTGGCTTGACTGAGTTGCTTCAAAAGCCCTGATATCAACAATAATGGATAACAATTTTTTACCATTGTTTTGTTGAAACTACAATAATCATTACACATTTTCAAATATCTATCTTTTTACTTTATAAAAAATATTGGTGCATATTTTTGGAGATTTAAAATGCCAAATAAAACTCTTTACAAGATTTTTGTTGATATAATCTTTCAATATCAAAAGCTTATTCTATGATAGGTTGTAGATTGGACCAAATAGTAGTTGAGCTATTTTTTGAAGATCAATAATACAATCATATGGTTGATGCTTTAGTAATATATCAACATTTTTTTTTAAAGACATCTTAAATTTTTTTATACTACTTTAGAATAGTTATAAACAAGCTTGCTTCTTTATAAGCTAAAGTTGCATAAATGAAAAATGGCATTTTCTTCTTAAGAGTCTTCATAAAAGTCCTTCTTCCAAGAAATAAAAGCTTTATTGTTGATGACTTCTTGATAGATTTTGCTTGAAAAAATTCTATAGGAAATTCAACCTTATGAATCTTCTAATTTATAAATAGATTATATCTTTCTAATCTTAAAAGTTCTAAAATATTAGAATTGGATAAGATTCTAATGATATAAAATATTATTTTTCTATTATGGCCCTTAAATGATATTTTTAATAATATAGTCTTATGAATAACATTACTTGAAAATAAAGATTGACCATCTATTACTTCTACATGTACAAGTTTTGACTTTTTTATTAAAAGAATTTTATGAAGTTTGAAAAAATCTTCATCTAAAAAGATGCTCTTAAATCTAATAAAGTATTTATTTGAAGTTTTTTTGGGCTAAGTAATAAAGCTATAATAAAATAACAAGTAGGTTAGGCAAAGAAAGAAGGACGTTGATGAATTTGAAGAGTTGAAATATCTAACCACATGGTCCTTATTGTATTTAGGCATCTTTATTTTTTTGAATAATTGTACTCTTAATCTTAATTGTAAGTTGTTTTTTAAGACAATTTTTAAATTTGTAGCCTTCTAACTACAATACAAGTATTGATCTTGTTCAAATTGACACTTCTTATCTTTTATTGTAAAAAGTTTAAATGGTATTGCATCAATTTTCATATACTCAACTTCAAAGTGTGGAAGTAATGTATTTATTGAAGTAATAAAGTATGAATTTCTAGTGCATTTCTTTATCAAAGTCCATGAGCATTGATCTTAACAATATTGAAATAATCAATTATCACACTTTATAGCTTGGCTAGTAGCTTTATCAAGTGTTTGAGTATTAAATAATGATAATAATAGGTCTTTTAAATCATCACTTATTTTCTAATAGAATTGATTCATAAGAGCTTATTCATCCCAATTGATGTCTCAAGCCAATTGCCTAAAATCAAATGCATAAATTAATGCAAAGCATGATTCTTGATGTAATGAATAAATCTTTGTTGTCATGAATTGGGCCTTGTCATGTCTTCCAAATGTCTTTATAAGTGATTCTAAAAAAGGTTCAAAGTTGCTTAAGATTAGAGATATCTTCTCAAATAAAGGAACAAACTAAGATAAAGCTTGTCTTATGAGCAAGGTTCTAACTAAACTAACTGGCAACTCCTTTGTTGGATAGCACTCAAGTTGTAGAAAATTTATCAATCAAATTTGATTAAAAAATCCTCAAAACTTAGAGCATGTGCCATCAAACTTTTTTAGAAGATTGACACAAGGCTCTCTAAATCCTAAACTTCCATTATGCTCTATTCTAATATATACTAGGTATTATGAAACTTTTCAAGAAGTTTCCATATTGCTTGAAAATAAAGCAACCCTAGAAAACTTCTTGCACAACTTCCTTAATCTTTCCAAAACTTTCTTAAATCTATTAAATTATTTTAAGAATATTTTAGAATCTTTTAAAATATTTTTAAAACCTTTATAAAATCTTCTATTAGAATATTTTAAAGCCTTTTAGAATCTAACAAAATATTTTAAAAATATTTTTAAAATCTTCTTGTGGATGTTCGTAATAATCTTGTTATCCAAGATCATCAATCATAAGCTAGTATTAACAAAAAAAAAATAAAAAATAAAAAATACATACATACATACATACATACATACATCAACAACAACAACAACAACAATAACTATTGCAAAATTAGTATAGTTTCTTATTAAATAAAGCTCAAATACTATCAACAAGTCAATGAAGATAGATCAACAATGATCTATTTCTTTAGGTGAGAAGATTTGGCATGTAACAATTGTCTCTCTTTCTCCTTTGATATACTTTGTACATTGTATATTATAAAAATGAATTATGATTCAAAATGGAGGTTATGACCCTTAAAGATTAAGTTCATAGCTTATTTATAGATGTAGAGAAGCTCAAAGAAGCAGTAACAATCTTAAACTATAGAAAAGATTGAATAGTCTATTTTGAAGCAATAAAAGAGCTTCCCACAATGTACAACTAAGAGACTACTTTTCAAAAGCAAGAAAGAGAATGATTTGTACCTTATATGCATGCTAATATATATACTTCTTGTATTGAAGAAATCTCAAATAATTACAAATATTAAAAGTAGTATTCCATTTACGGGGAGAGAATGAGTTGAAAGCTACGTTGATAACCATGCATTGAAAGCCTTGAGAATATTATGCTCTATATTTGTATATTTGCTGAGATTTAATACAAATTGATATGTTTGAATTCCAAGTCTCACATACCTTAGTTGTAGGAATTTGACATTGGATTGGATTTCTTTTTTTATAAATAAAAGGGATTTCGATAAAAAATTGCAAATTTCAATTTTTTCTACCACATGAAAAATTTAAGGCTTGACTATATAAATCAAGTGCTGAAGTACGACTTATGGATCTATATCCACTAATGCTATCTAAGAACTCTCTCAAAAGGAATGCAAACAAATGATGGGGCATGTATATCCTTCCATATAGACTCAGAGACCTACTTTGCATGGCAAATCAAATCTCAATCCAATCTCATAAATAATAAACTCTTTGTAGTATCTCACAATACTTTAATAATGGCTTTTAAAATTACCATCAATCAATTATTTAATATATAGAGTATATTATAATTTTTCCATACTTTCCAAACATAAAAAATGTAACTTTTGTAATTATGAGATGTTACATTTTTCATACTTGTTGTTTATATAATAATAGAAGCTAAGAGTAGGAGTTGAGAATATAAGCTATGAACATAGGAGATTGAAATGAGAGTTAGAAATGGAAAGAATAGAGAATTGGGATGAGAGCTAAGATGGGAGGCTAGGAGCAAGGAGGATTGGAATGAAGGCTAGGAATGGAGGGAACAAGGACTAGGAATGAGAGAAGGCTAGATGAAGGCAATGATTCTAATGATGGTTTCTGGAAATGATCATTTTTTCTAATGATGGTTACAATAGGCTAGGTCAATTTAATAAGTGAATAAATCATTTTAATATTTTCTTATATATAAAGTACGCATTTAGGAATTTCATAGCAATCATTCAATATCGAAATTGTAATTACTTCTTATTATTGTTATGTTCATAAATTTCATTAGATAAACTAAGAACAAAATACTTTTGGAATTCAATTAACAACTTAAAGCTATTTTATTTGTCTAATTTTGGTTTGAAAGCAAATGAAAATTATGACAAGAATGACAACAATCATATTAAAAATAAAAATGGAACTGAATATAATGCACACTTCAAGAACTTGTAGATGCATGAGTTGGATGTTACTGCACTAACCTAGTAAAGATTACTACCAGAAATCTTAAGACATTGAGAATGGGATCAATCAATGCTTCCAGAATATGCAGCAAGATGACCAACCAATGCTTTTGCACAACCTCCTTGGAAGATGCAGGTAAGACATAGTTTACAATGGGGTTTTGCAAATCCTCCACGGTAGTGTTTACTTGGTCCCTTAGGCTGCTTTTGAACTGCAGAAACCCAGTTAAGATAATGAAAGGTTGGCTCAAAAAAGAACTGGAAAAGTTCAAGAGATGGAAGGTGAGAAGAGTACTATTGTGATGCATGACAGTAGTTAATTCGCTTTTATTTCGTTGTCTTTCCTTTTTCTTGTTATATTAGACAATAAAAAGTTGCAAAAGATCAATAGCTCTATGGAAACACACATTATCTGTGGCTGTTTGAATACAACGGATTGACAACAGGCATTTCATTGTCCTTGTATGATTGACAATCAGATTTTTGAAGACTGTAGCTTTTCGAAAGGACACCCTGATTTTACCTGCGTGCTAGTAAACTTAGGCTGGCCAAAGTGGTTGTATAGAGAACACTACTATAGCCTAAAATAACCATCAAGAAAAGCAAAAAAAACGTATGGTAAAGTTGGGATTTGTGATATGGGCGAGAACAACAACAAACAAATAAATCCGTTAGGTTATTTTTGTAATACCTGATCGAATCACTTCGTGGCTACAGTGAATTGAAATGAAGAATAAAACCTGCAAGAAATGAAAACCTCAACATGGGAACCCTAACAACTCTTGAATCTAGATTAAAAAAATAAAAAAATAAAAAAATAAAAAAGGGAAAAAAAAATCATCGCCATGTCATGAAGAGCTACCACCATGATCCCTCTCCACATGGTTGACTAACTGAATAGGATCTCTAAACTTCCGGCCACATTTAGGGCACTCATCCAGCATTTCTTGATTAGGAGTGTCGTGCATTGTCTCGACATGTTTTATTAGCTGTGCCACATTAGCGAACCGGGCCCGACACTGTGGACATTCCTCTGTTTTCGATGCCTGACCACTTGATCCCTTCAGAGGCTCAGACGGCGTTTGTCTTCCTACTGCATTCCCATGGCTCGTTCCTGAGCTTGAAGTCGCCAGTCCCAATTTGTTTATTCCTGCCTCTACAGAAGAGAACAGGCCTGAAAAAGCCCCTTTTATTGACCCTGATTGAACAGACGATGCTCCATTGGCAGGCAGTTTTGAATTGCCATTTGATTGCACTACAGGCGCTTTTCTCTCCTTGAAACTCTTCATGAACATGTTCCCATAATCACTAATGCCCCAATTACTTCTATTAGCTTTTCTAAAGTCTTCACACCCATGATCCAAGCCAAACCGGTGCTTCAAACACACCTCTCTCTTGCAGTCATTGCACAACACTTTGTTGGAGAAGACAAGGATCTCTTTGCACCCTCGAACAGGACATCTGCATCCTCAGAGAGATGCACTTCATCTCAACATTTACCCTCGAAGAAAAAAACCTCATAAACAACCCAAAATCCGACACAATTCTTGGAACGAAATTCCAAGTGAAAGTCCTAGGATAGTGGCCTCAGCACGCTCTCAATTATCGAGTCGCCAGTCAAGGCAAGTCCAGAATGAATCACGTTTGAGAGGCAATGAACTAGAAATTTGATAACAGAATATGAGAATTCCCATTTACCTAGGTTTCTTGGTGGCCTTTTCATAGTTACTTGGGTCGCAGTTTGTCCGAACGTGGCGATCCCACGTAACATTCTCATCTTCGTTAGCCACAGTGCGGATGGATTTGTGACACACGGGACACACTATAACTGTCACATCGTGGTCCTTTGTATTGGGACAATTGTGGCTTTTGTATTGACGGTGCTCTAAACAAAAGACCTGTGACAAATAAGAACTCCTCCATTAGCTAATGAACCACATAACTTAAACTTAAAATAAAAGTCAAGTCAATAGCAGATATTTAAGCCTTGAAGCGTCCATTGCATCAAATTCTCAACTGATTGCACGTAAATCCTCTAAGAGCCAGCACAGAATAAATGCTAGGTCGAGACTGAATTTCAACCAGGGAGTGCAAAGATCAGCATTCTTGTTATCAAGTATAGTCCAACTTCTTGAGCCAGAAAGGATAACAATTTTAAAGCCATTTCGGTCATAGTTTAAATAACACCAATTTCTGATACCAAATTGTGCTAAAGTGATTGTAGTGTAACTCCACACTTCTACAGTAAATCGTAACCAGAAGCAATTTACAGGATAATTGATGTCTTGAGTATCTAAACCACCCAAGCAACTAATTCTTTCGTAGTTTGTGTCGTTTGAATTGGTTAAGCGGGGTTCTAGAGGAATGGAATGCCAGTTACAACATACACACATTTCAGCAGAATCCTTAATATGTTACCAATTTCCCGAATGACCATATGCATTGCTAGAAATTAAAAATTTGAATGAGCTTATTACAATCTAAAGGACTCACAAAGAAACGAATAGTACAGCGACCCAGTTTACTACCAAAAAAACCAGATCTAGGGAAAACCACTCGAGAAATTGGCAGCGATACAATGAACCCGTTTTCGCAAATTCAAAAATAAAATTATAGGCAGTAAGATAATAAAAATAATAACAAAAGAATCGAAACCAGCAGGTCATCAACACCGACATCCCCTACCACAGCTCACAGAAGGGACAAGACCAAAAAGAACAAGCTCAGACGCTCCTGAACAAAAAACAAAACAAAACAACCTAGGTTTCGGAAGAGTTGGGGCTCCGAAATGGAACTTGACAGGGTGAGGGGTAAGAAAAACCTATGGCGAGAACCTTGTGACAGGCGTCGCAGGTGAAGGGCAGGAAGTCAAGCTGGTGGCAGTCGACCCTGGAGCAATGCTGTCCGAGATCAGGCAACGCCGGTGTGCCCATCTTCACCCACCTCCGAGACACGGCCTGCGGAACGTTGTGTGCAAGCTCTCTCACACACCAGACCCCCCCCCCCCCCTCCTTTTCAACTCCGCCGCACACACCTATTCAACGCATCCGCAACAACAGTGGAAGGAACCCACAAGCGAATTAACTCTGGGTCAAGATGCAACAGTGCGATCGATGCGAGAGAAGACGGATTCGCGTTGTGGGTAATTCCAATTTATAGGCTCTGTGATGAGTCGAATGCTTCAACGCTAAGGGAAAAACGCAGCCTGCCATTCCTAGCGGAGGGAAACTCCAAAGCCTCGTCAGTGCGAGGCGTGTGCCCAGCGCAGCTTCGTGTGGATGAACGTAGATGAATATGTGATGATGGATGAACATTTTCGGATGTACAAGTGGATGGATATATGGGTGTGGATGAATGTTTTCCAGCTTCGGGGATGTTGGTGGGTATATATAATCATTTATTTAATATTTAATTTAATGCAAGAAATATTATTCTGATGTAAGAAGTCTTTTCTAATATAATTAGAGATTTTCATTTATACTATCATGAAATTAAAAAAAAAAAAATTATACTTTTATATTTTTATTGCAAACAACAATTAGAAGAGACAATGGATTTTTTTTTTTTTTTTTTTTTTTTTTAAATACAATTAGAGAACAGATCTTATTTTATTTTTGCTGACTGCTTTGGATTTTCTCAACGATGTTTCTTCTTTGTATTATTTTGAAAAGTTATACACTATTCAGATCTGACAAATATGTTTTCAGAATATTTTGAGTATAAAATTTTATTAGTTTAGATATCAAGATAGAAGCTAATGCAACATATTTAATGACTAAAATTAATTAATTAATATTAATTATATATTTATTTCTATTTTGAGATTAATGTAATTTAGATCATGTACTTTGTTAGACTTATTTAATTTTTTTAACTCACTTTTGTGACAAAAAACAAAATGATCTTCAAACAAGCATTTAATTTTACATCTAATATAAATAGACATAAGATTCAAATTATTTGTATTATTATCACTTAAATACTTCAATCTCATCCATCCTAAGGTTTTTAAATCTTTTTGTACCTTAAAATATCAAGTTTGATGATTAATCTGTCATTTAATTAACATTGATATTTGATATCACTTTGTAATATAAATTTTTAATGATTTAATTATATTTTTAGATTTTATATATATATATATATATATATATATATATCACAATTACAATATGATATGTTCCATATTCGAGATGATAATTATACAATGTAACCAATAAAAGAAACATTGTAAAGGTAAGAATTCAAAACATATCTATAATTGGTAATTATGTGCTTATGATAGTTATTTATAAATAATAGCAATATAGAATATTCACAAAGATCTATATAAATTTGAGTTATTTAAAAACAAATAGGGAGTAGATCAATTTGTTTTTAAAAAAGCTTGTAAAATTTACTATGTTCTTTAAATTTTATTAAACTTAGTATTATATATCATTCAAGTTAATATATATATGTATGTGTCACTTTTATTATTGTTTTCCAACATCCATTTTATGTTTTGAGTACTTTTATTCAGGAATGAACTAAATATAGAAAATAATAATTTTAATTTAAAAATAATCAGTATATAAATAGTAAATTTATTATGATAACATTATTAAATTATATCAATAAAAATTTGAAATACAATTATAATATATTTGATATTTTTAAACATAATATGTTAGTAATCAAGAAGAATATTTCAAAACATTGTCTCATGAAAATTAATGACTATCAAAGAATATATATATATATATATATATATATATATATATATACATATATATTATGTATTTTCTGACGACTTTGTTACTATATTTGTATTTCAATTGACAAAAAATTTAAACCAAAAAAACATCATTTCATTTAATCAAAATAAAATTGAATAAAATTCATCAAACTATGATTTTTGAAAAGTACTTGTGCAAGACAAAAAGAATTTCTTAAAATTGTATAAAAATTGATTTGTTCTCTAAATGTATTTTTGAATTACAATATATTTTAAAATACCATTATAATATATCAAAAATATATTTTATGATTTTTTTAATTTTTTAATTTTTTTGTGAATTTAATGTAATAATAAAATATTCAAATATCTCAGATACAAAAAAATATAACTTATATAAAAATAAAATACATTTTCTAAATTATTATTTTGAATTTGGTATTGAACTTAATAATTGATAGTTACTTTAGCACCTCTAAATATTTCTTATATAAAACAACTTAAGGAGAGAGAAATACAAGGGATAAACAAGAAGAAATAAAAATACTCTCTAATTTGCTACATGCCTCATTGTTTCCATCAAAAGCTTTTAAAAAAAATAATCCAAAACTCATAGTAACTAAAATATTTATTGTGATATTAATTGAGATTACACTGCTCTTTTGGGATGTTTCTAAGAGGGAAAGCATGCAAGAGCTTTGATTGAAGAAAACTTATGAGTTAATAATTCAAGGAAAAGCCTAACAAATTGGGAGACTACCTCTTGTTTGTATAGTGCAAGTTGTGAGGGGCAATGGGCAATGGATTTTGTGAGATACACATCTAACCCCAATCTTTGATTGTGCTAATTAGAACACAAATGGCAATGAGTTACAACCCATCATTTAGGTTGGTGGTGCAGCAAAAGGGACACATATTTGTTTTACATCTCACTTTGTGCCTTGTATCTTTGCAGTTGGATGATTGCGGGGACTTAAGCATAGCTATGGGATGCAATGTGAAGAGAATTGTAGTCTAAGAGCTTTACAATCCATGTTTGTAATAAAAATATATGCCCGCTTACTTGATTTAGATGGCATATGGCTTGAAAATGAAGAAGTTTATCGTCTCTAATAGATATCGAGCATTAATTTGGAGTAAATTGCAAATTAATGCTCGATATCTGATTGGTTATCTATTAGGTTCCACAAGTCCTTTCTCAATAGATGTAATAACATTTAATATATTTTGTTAATGTTTAGCTCAAAATAAACCCATACAATACCATAATTGATTATTATACCTTAAATTGGTATGGTTTTTTCAGAACTTCTCCGAGCTTTTCAACAAGTTCGCGTGGATTTCAATGCACAACTCTTACGCCATTGTAGGTGAAGTGCCGGTTTTAGAAGTTACAATCGTCTCTCAAAAGAATCAAGAAGATAGTGTTATCAGCCAAGTTAGTGTACATTATTGATACCTTCTCCTTTCTCTATATATATGTCTAATCCTCACAATAATGCTGTGAGAGTAGCAGACCTCCATGTCAACCAAATTGCAATGCAACACAAACATTGTCAATTGGTTTTAGCAGCTGAAGGAATTTCATAGTATTCACTTTGTCTCCATTGTTAGTATAGTACATCTTACAAAAATACTACTAAATCAGATATCAACCAAATTGACTAACTGTAACCTTAATCCTTCTATTATTTTAGGTAAGATTAGCTAAATAAGTTTATTTCTAAGGACCGTAAATGGTTGGATTCCTCAATACGTAGGTACAGCAAGCTGATGCTTACAACATTTGCTACAGTGGTGGGTTTGACACTTCTACTCTTTAACTGCTCAATAGATGCATTGAATTGGTTTTTTGATTGCCAATATTATGCAATCTTGCTCGACTCAAGGTTGTTGTATTCCATATTAGTCCTTCACATTTTGTATACTTTACTGTTGGTGCAACTGTTATTGGGTTACTTGAACATTTTCAGTCACAAAAAGAGGAACTGTGTGAAATTGACATGAAATAAATTTCAAACAAGATAAATTCAATATTTGATATTTGACATCAAATTGTATGCACCCAGGCCTTGTTGATACAGAGGTTAGTTTTCATCTAGAGCAAGACACAATTGATGCTGCAAGTTGAAACCATATTTGATTTAATTGCATATTAAATTTCATATTAACTTTCATATTATATTTCATATTACATTTTATGTTACATTGCTTATATTTATGCTTTTCCAAAAAAGTATCATGATCGTTTTTACATGATCGTTTTATCAGATTTGAGTTTCAAGTTTGATTTTTAGAGTTGATTGAATATTGCATTTATCATATTACATTTCAAATTATATTACATATTAATATTTCATATTACACATTCCATATCTCGTATTATATTATATTTTATACCTAAAGGTTGTATTGAAATTTAAATTCTATCGCAATTATATCAATGATTGGTAGCTGGGGATTTTCTGAGACAATACATTGCTAAGTCTATTTCCAAAAAAAATCATAAAAAATTTCATCTAATTTCATTCAATTTTATCCGAGAGGCATAAGTACATCCATCATGCTCCATGTTTCTTTTCCCATATTTTTGAGGTAGATATTTTGTGGTATAGCAACATTCAAGGATTTTAAATTTTACAACTCTTTTTAGAAAATCTTAATTTATTTATTTATTTTTGAATAATGAGCATGTTATTGTTTAAACTTTGCCAGGAGATTTATGATTATTTCATCCTGATTGAATGAAATTTACTTTTTTTGTAAAAATTGTCTATTTATGCTTTAAAACTTATTGTGAAACTTGAAGCCAATGCAAGTCAAAAACTAGATTTTAAAAATTTTATTTTTATTTTTATTCATCACTTTATTTTCATCCAAGGTAGAAAGTACATCCATCTAATTTCATCCAATAGGCGTAAATGCATCCATTAAGCTACATGTTTCTTTTTCCATGTTTTTGAAGTGGATATAAATTTCACATAGAATTTGAAATCACAGCTGAAGCATCCAGAAGAGGTCCAACAGCTACATGGGGTTTGACAAGCAAAATATTACAGTTACAACTTGGTCTTCAGACATAAATTTATAAAAGAAATGTCAATTTAATTCCACCATGAAGAAGCTAATCTCTCAATATAACTCAGTTCCAGAGTATAGAATGGCCACAGCATGTTGCAAGCTGAACAGATCAATGCAATTCCAAGCCTCCTCAAGCGAAGATAATGGAGTGGCAAATTCAATTTGCAACCAATTGGGTGAACTAAAAGCAGCACCTGTACATATGAACTATGTAAGACTCTACACTTGGAATATCTATCCTTCAAAATAAATAAAATAAAAAATAAAAAAATAGATAGATAACTGTGATAAACGATCCTTGAGATGAGAGTTGACGTTAATCTCGTAGTACAACAATAAACTTGTCTTCCACAAACAAAGATGCAAACTCCAAGTCATTTGTTATGTCCATAAACACAAAAGGATCAATTTTCACCTGCAAAATAGAAAACTAAAAAGTTAAAATGATGAAGGCTAAAGAATGCCAACTAGATGATTGAAAGTGTGACTTTGGAAATGAAGGCTTCCTAAGCTACTATACATGCATGGCTTTTGTAGTTAGGCTTGTGAATCACCCAATGGTTCACATGGTTTCAATAAGTAATAGACATTCCACTTGCTTTTGTATTACTAGAGAGAACAAAGTGTTAGATATGGTTTGTAAACCAAAAAGAGATCCAATTCCACTAAAATCCCACCCACAAAAACAACTCCATGACATACTATATACACACAATTTCAACCCTAAAAAAACCATAGACAACTCCAAGTCACGTTTCTCCCATTGATATTATATTCTCTCAACGATGAGAAATGATCAACTCAACTATCTCATTAAATCAAAATCCAATTTATACACCAATGAGTAATCCAATAATAATCAGAGGAATCAAAAAGAGCAAACCAACAATAGAGAAGTAATAAGTAATGTTGAATGCCATAGAAGATCAAAGGAATTGCACACACATCTAGAAATTCAATTTGAAATCGAGATCGCACACACATAGCTCCTCTTTAGTTTCTTACCAGACATCTCTATGCTGCCCCACATCTATATAAAGAAAACAAACAATTGATTTGGCTAATATTGTGGGGAAATGCAGCCATTTAAACTTCAATATGATCGCAAAGTGTTCGTTCGTCATTTCTATGCACCACTCAAACCTCAAGGTTTGCTTCTTCTTCAGTTGTAACTATCATTGCCAAACTCAAAAAATAAAAGCCACATTCTGTCAAGGTCTTACAAACTCTAGTATTTCACTTCTGGTATAAACAATGAGAGATGCATGCAGCAAATCAGAAAGCCATTTTGTCTCCATGGTTTATCCTGTGTATTTGTCCCCCGGAGCTGTTTTATATAAGGGATATAAATATGAATATATCTGCGTACATTCATCTTCGAACCAGATGCAAAAGTCTCATCCACCCGGCATTCATTCATTCATTCGAAGGTCATGGTGATCCATCTAGTCAGTGGCGCCCTCGCCGTGAACGAGCCCAGTTGCCGATGCGTCACGGCACGGCATCGCACTCCCGAGACCGAGCGAGCGAGCGAGCGAGCGCCAGAGAAAGAGAAAAATCTGGGTGACACTCTTCCTCCTCCTCCTCCTCCTTTTTGTTTCGAAGCTGACGACGCCGCAGGCCCAAATCAGAGGCGCACACGTAGGAATGGAAACGGAAGCGTGCGATGGGAGCCACCATGATAGCCGCTCATTGCCAAAAGAAAGATGGACAGACAGACAGACGGACAGGCCCTCCCTCCCTGGATAGGCCCATGGATAAGGGTCGGATCCACCAGCCAGTGTCTCCATCTCGATTCAGTCCCTGTTTCCACCCCTCATCGCTTCCTCCGGCGGTGATTAGCATCTCCAGATTCTTAGGTTCGGCAGATTTCGTTCGGCATCGGGGTTTGCTTTTTGAGAGGCAGAAATCGGGTTTTAATGCTTACTGGTCTAGTTTGAGTGTACGTCGGTTTCGATAAGTGTGTTGCTTTGTTGTTGCTGTTGATTGTCACTCCGGAGAGCTGAAGTCTTGTGCTGGAAGGCGCAGGTGGAGAGGGATGGTTATGGCGACAGGGATGATTGTCACCCCGGCGTCGACAATTGCTGTTGGGTCCGCTTCCTGTGCCTCCAGACGATCTATCGCCAATGCTTCTCCCTTGGTAAGTTCATTCCAACACGGTAGCGGAAGAAACTCTGGACAACAGCAGCAGCAGCAACGGTGGGCACCTGTGACAGTGCGCAGCATCGCCGCTGGGCCACCCAAGTCAGCCGTCGAGGTGGACTGGAAAACTAAGCGGGAAGCATTGAAAAAGAACAACTTGCGGTCAGTGCAACCTAAGGATGCTCTTCGGCTGCAGAAAGAACAGGGTTACACAATTTTGGATGTCCGTCCAGAAAACGAGTTTGTACAGGCCCACGCCGAAGGAGCTGTGAATGCGCAGCTTTACAGACTCATCAAGGAATGGACTCCATGGGACATAGCTCGCCGCGCTGGGTTTGCATTTTTCGGCATTTTCGCAGGGACTGAAGAGAATCCGGAGTTTTTGAATGAGGTGAAGGCCCTGGGTCTGGACAAAGACTCTAAGATCATCATCGGCTGCCAATCTGGAGGGACGATGAAGCCCAGCCCTAGCTTGGCTGATGGACAGCAATCTCGGTCATTGATAGCAGCATACGTCCTGACAATGGAAGGGTATAAGAATTTAGTTCACATAGAAGGAGGTCTTCGCCAGTGGTTTAGGGAGGAATTGCCGGTAGAGGGGACTGAGCTTGTGGAAGAGTAGTTGTCATGAATCAAGTTCATATGGTTGAGTAATAAAGAGACCATTAGACAACTCGTCGTTGTATCTTCACTGCTACCTTGTGTAGAATGTAGAAAATCGTACGGGGCAAAAGATACGATAGATGCAGCTTCCAGGACCCCGTAGAAATCACCAGACGACTTGCCCACTCGGGACCCAACTCAATTTTGCGAGACGTTCCAACCAGTTCGATCGTAGCGGAGAGAGCGCATTGCCTCATCTCGAGACTTTCAAGTTTAAGGTAACAATCGTACTCATTAAGTTGAGTATGCGCTTTGTCCGATTTTGTCACACGGCAATGTCAATCTTACGTGAAATGTAAAGCATATTCCGTGAGTACAGAAACCTGCAAGGGAAAGACTCGATAGTGATGGAGCTAGATTGCCTAGTGAGAAAGAGAACGATCGATCGATCCCGAATGGTCGATCTTTGGTGTACCGATTGTGAATTGAAATGCAAAAAACCTACAAATGTTCCAAGACCTACCAACCCAGAACTGTTAATGTCTCAATTACACGTCCTCTCTTCCAATCCGGTACAAACGCGTGTTCATTCAAAAACTTGCCCGCGACGGAACGTTCACTGACATGCAGCCCTATGGATTGTAACGTAATCTGCTTAAAGGCATGCAACACTGCCTTTACATATTACAGCGAACTGTTTCATCATACAGAAGATGCTGAACCGGTTCGCAGGTACAGATGTCTACAAGTACTCACTGAGCCCTACACCCAATGAGTCAACTCTACAGCTTTGAGTGTAACGATATGAACACTTTTTCTGTTTTGTTATTCCCTCAATTTTCACCTTCTCTTGTTTGGAGTAAACAACCTCACGAACACGCTCTGGTGTCAAAGTTTTTGAAGATTACAAAATTGCAAAAGCCCTGACCACCATGCTTATTCTCTAACCTACAGCCACATGCCGCTTCAATGATCTCTAATTCTTTGTCATCAAAAGACTGTGTCATGGACAACTTACCGCAACAATGAATGCATCTACTTGTGCAAATTTACGCTCTCAAATATTGGTGAGAGCTTGTTTCGGGCTGCAAATCATCCTCTCCGATCTCTGTATGTGTCCATATCAAAGCAGCAACAACTTATTGGAGCAGTATTGAGTTCAACCTCCGACTTTCGACTCAGACAGAGACTCATAGGAATCAAAGTTGTAATACAAAATAAGGGGTCAATTAGGAATTTAACTACTCTTGCTTGTCTTGTTAAACGAAAACAAACTTGAACATCACACAACGACAAGACTGAATTCCAGTGGCAACCATCTGCAGAAGACTTTCAAGGAGTGTAGTCTTTCAAAAAATTGTGGAGTAAAGAGAGTTCATAATTGAAGACACATGAGTGGTGATATTATATACAGAAATCACCCAGAAATAATTATGCCTGATCATGGACACCCATTTCGACGGAAGAGTAACATTCCGTGTAGACTGAATTTTTTAGTATCATCAACCTATGAGAGCAAAAAGGAGCATCCTTGGAAGTCTACAGTTGACCAGGGGTCAAAAAATGGCATGATATTCTCAATTACACAAGGCAAGTCCTTAAAAGAAAATAAAGATTATATTTGGGAAAATGATAATTTTTTAGGGTTTGCAGAAATTAAAGCATGTTTTGGATTGGTGCCACAAGAAGAGGGAGCATGGGAAGTCTTAATCTCTATGATAAGACAACATAGACAACTAATCTCACAGACTCTATCCCAAGTGTTTAAAGAAGGGGAATGGGTTGGCTTGTTCTCAAATGAAGATTCTTGGTTACCAAGCATGATTTGGAAAATCAGTGCAAATTACCAAGCAAATTTACACTTGAGAATTCTAGATCCTTCTACATATCACTCTGTACAAGTCCAAAGAGGGGCGAAATGATCTCATTAAACTTTCACTAGAATGGAGGGAAGGCCAAACTCCATGCGGGCATAATGGGGAACCCCAATAATGTTGTATACCATGAAGTATGCTTGAGAATGCACTAGGCATGTGATTTTGGAAGGTAAAATAGAATTTGCAACAAGAAAGTCCAAACAACTCTAATAGAGTCCTAAAAAATATTCTAATTAAATCTTAACAATATTAATCCATCTTTAATCAAATCCAATTTTTCTTTTAAAGAAATTATAAATTAATCTTATATATATACAATAATTTTTTTATTAATCATAAATTTTAAAAATCCAAGATCCTAATCCAATAAAACTCTCATATCCTTCAATCAAACTATTTGATTGGTATTAATATACATTGAAGACAAGCACAATGACAAACTCACAAATATTCATCTATAAATGACTTCGGAGAATTGATTAACTAACATGGAACTTTAGCCACTTCTAATAGATAGGAGGAGTACCATTTACAGAATACTTGGCACAAATAAGTTACACTATTATGTAATAACACAACTATATGGTAAAAAATAAAAATATTGATGTTATTTTAGAAGAGCTTAGTAGAAAGATATAATAGAAAAACAAGAATAAATGATAGGAAGGTAGTAAAAAGTTTAGTTTTAATACTTCTTTTTATAAAAAAAACTTTTATTTACTTTGGAGAAGCATAAATAAGCCAAATCAAAGTAAATAAAATAAAGAAATTGATATATGAATATTTAGAAGAGAATTAAAATAGATTAAAATAAAATTTACCTCAAATTATCAAAAATTAATATCCAAAGAGGATTAGTTGTCAACCTAGATTAAAATCAAACCTTGAGGCACAAAACCATACACCTATGGTAACTCTAAGGTTCTTTTGCAAATAAAAAGGTGGAATTTGAGGGTTGACTTGAGAAAAAAAATTTACATATTAATTTTATATTATTTAAATTAATATTAAGATTGTGGAAGATTTTCAAAGTTAGTAATGAACTTGGTGGGTTTGGATTTTGAGAAATAAAAACAAGTTTACAAATTTTCAGATTTTGTAAGTTTTATAGTATGTTTATAAGTAAAAATTAGAAATTTTAGTTTTTATACTTGTTATATATGTGTATGAGAAATTTGAGATCAATTGAATATTTAGATTGAAGTGTATGAGGATTTTTGTAGGTCATGGTCTTGGATAATTGAGATTTAAGATCAGTGAAGGATTTCATGATTTGACAATATTTGTTAGTTCAATTGAAGCAATAATTGGTGAGAGCAATTTAGACTAAAATACCTATACATAAGTCAAATTGTGGAGCAATTGAATGGTTCAACAAAGAGAAATGTGCATTGAAAGAACAACATTCAAGTCAAAGAAGGAAGGGAGTTAATAATTGAGAGGTTTGGAGAGCTTTTCTTATAAATGGTATGTGCAATCTTCTTCAAATATTTTACGCTTATTGCTAACTTCGTTTTTTCAAGGTATGCAAAGTTTGAGTCAAAATTAATGGTTTAATTATTAGTTATTAAATTTTTAATCTGCTATAGAATTATTAAGAATTTTATTTAAGATTTGGGATTTAATTATGGATTAAATAGGATTGGTTTAGGATCTAAGATTTGATTAGAATCTGTCTAAGATTTGGCTAGGAATAAGAATTTGTCTAGGATTTGGTTATGTGAGTCCCACCAATGAATTTTAATTGGTGGATTGGTTAAAAATATAGTAATGAGTCATTTAATGAGATAAATACTAAGGTTAGAGAGTCTTTTTGACTATTTAAATATTTATTAGAATTTAGAAATATTTATAAGTATAAAAGTCTTATTAGAAGAAAAGTTACAAAAATGGAGTCTTAGTAAGTCTTGGAGGCAATTAACTTAGTTGGTGTAGTATTTTCACTCATTATTGAGTATTAATGATTAATAATTGAAACCAATGTCTATTTTGGCCTCATATCTACATGTATTACTTACAAAAATCCTATCGATGATTAGTTAATAGTTAAAAGAAGCATGAAAAAGAACTTCATGTCTTTTAAATTATGTATATAGAAAATAGGATTTTTAGTGGATTTAAATTGATTTTATTACTATAAAAAATCACCAAGATAGAAAAATATAGAATTGTATGGATATCACTATTATAAAAATATTATATGATTTTTTAGAATTTATTTCGGATTTTTTTATGAATTTTTAGAGAAAATTTCAAGATCTTGATAAAATTGAATTTTACCACCTTGAGAACCATTATGAAGAAATGAAGTAAGATTTGAAGACAATACAAGGTTTCTAGGCTAATTGGGTATTTTTGAATACCATGGTGAAGTTAAAAATACAAAAAAAGTAATTTTACTAGTAGAAAATAGGAGGACCAGCAGCTAGTATAGTCCTTGTACGAAGAGAGGTGCACAATTCCCATAAGGGTTGTAGCACCTTGGGTATAGGTAGGAAGATAAGACTAAGTCCTCAAGGCTTCTTTAGACAACCGGTATACACTACTTGTGAGCCTTGGTGAGGCTCGAACTCCTGATTTTTTAAACAAGTTATTCTTGAGGTAAAAATTATTCACTTAACTTTTTTATTATTTAATCTATCATAACTTATTCATAGTAACTTGAAATTACATTCTATTTTTAATCTATCATAACTTACTCATAGTAACTTGAAATTATATGATTTTTATGTCATTAAAAATTTTAAAAAATTATCTATTTAAAAATTTATTTTTTATTTTTTACTTTTACTTTTTTCTAAGTAAAAATCTAATAAACAGAATGTGAGTTAGTTTTGGATGTTGTGATTACTTGATTTCATTTCTTTCAATTATATTGTGGTTAATCTTCTTGGTTTTTGCCAATTGCTTACTTTACTTCATACCACTAATTATAAGCAACTGTTAATTAAAGCCATCTTATAATTGAGGTTGAAGAGTGAAATTTACATTCTCAAGATAAGATTTAGGATGTTGTCTAGGAATTGACTAAGATTTGCCTAAGATTTAATTAAGTTTTTTCTAAAATTTTATTAAAATTAGTCTAGGACTTAGGATTTTATTAGGATTTCATTAAGATTTGACTTAAGATTTAATTAAGGTTTCAATTAGGATTTTAATTAGGATTTGACCTAAGATTTTATTAAAATTAATCGGCATTTAATTAGGATTTTAATTAGGATTTGAATTAAGATTTATTTAAAATTTATTTAAAATTTATATTTTTAATATTTTTTAAAGATTCTCATTATTTCTTTAAAAAAAATTATTTTAAATATTTCTTTAAGCTTATTATTATTTTTTTAAAGAATTATTTTTATATTTTTTTAAAGATTTTATTGTTATTTTTCTTTGAGATTAATTTATGACTTCTTTGTATTTTATTTTTGTAAATTTTTTTAAATTTATTTTGGATTGTTTAAAATTTGATTAGGATTATAAAGGATTATTGAAAGTTTATTTAAGACTCTGTTAGACTATGTAGGATTGTTCTTGCTTTTTTACTTATCTTCCACAGATAGGTGCTTGGTACATTCTCAAGTAGAAACACACATAATACAATAGTACTCTTTTAAAGAAAAAACATGTAATATCTAATGTATT